GGCCGTCGTAAAGATAGTCGGCCGAGTGCACGCCGGTATTACGTGACGTGCCGTTCGATAATGATACCGCCATTGCGATAAAAACAAAGTGAACGTTTTATATATACGCCGATATATACGTATACACGTGCGTATACGAGTGCGCGAGTCTCACATGGCTACTGGCGATGGAAAAATAATGATAATAGGTTACGTCGTGCGTTAGCTAAACAACTTTCGTATGTACAAGTTGCTCGTCCACTCGTCCGCTCGCGTTCATTTGCCCCCGTTATCGCGAATTATATTCGCGAATAGTCGCTTCTCGTCAACGCTCGCGAGCGTAACGTTTCATTTTTTAGTCGCCACTCGATTACGTTTCCGTTTTTTATGGCCAGTGAGAAGGGACGAGAGAACCGCAGGATTTCCGAAACCACTCGTCTCGATCGCCGTTTAAAAGTTTTTACGGGCCACCTATCCACGCTTAAAATTAGTGGATGATCGCGGGAGAGATCGATCGCTTCAACGAGTAATCGTGTTGAGAGCGTAGCGAACGTTCGTAGTAGTATGGGTCGGTTTATGCACCGACATTAGTTATCGACTTGCCAGGCGCGAGTATACGCGGAACGCGTCACGAGTAGGTAACGAGCAGCTGACCGAATCACGGCCGCGTTCTCCTCGATTTTTTCAAGATTTTTTTATCGCACCGAGTAGCTATGTATATGCGTGACTGAAAGATGGAAATCTGTTTAACTGGCTGTGATAGAGAATCGCCAGCCTGTCCACGCATCGACGAGCGCGTTCGTTTCGAGGAATAATAAAATCTTAATGAAAAAAAAAAAAAAAGAAATATATATGTCTCGCGCGTAACGCTTAACGTTTATGACACAGCGTTTCACCAAAGCCTGTTTGTTTCGTCTGGAAGCGGACCGATCGGACCGAACGATCGGTTCGATCGAGGAAAAAGTGTCGGATCTTTGGCAGTTTGATCGAAAACGTCAACGATATATGTAGATCGGCGCACGAACAGACACGAAGTGTACTTCGCGAGGAGAGCCGTGCAGAGCAGGTGTGCACTCTCGGCAAACGAGATGGATGTGCTGGATGTTCCCATATCGCGTGACCACTCGATCAACGCTACCGCGAGTTGACAGTGACTTACGCACTCTGGCACTCGACGAGATATGACACGCGCCATCGAGCTTCACCCTATTGTTACCTGTAGATCGCCGCCCAACATCTTCGATTCATCCGCTATCCAGATTTTTCTTCCACTCGATCTTTCGCTTTGTTCATTAGGTTTAGCTCCCCTTTAGAGTTCGTGCTAGTATCCATACCGGTTTCCTCGATAGCCTGGATCGTCACGAGATTTACTACGCGTTTCACGTTCGCTAACGAGAAATTGAAATTCCCTCGAAATATTCACTTACTTTTAAATTAATATACCCGATACTAAAATCGAAAGAAATCTCAAATGTCAGCGTTAAGACACGCGGAGTACTTGGACGAACGTCAGTACGTTACTTTTCGAGAGTATCGGAGAAAGTAGCGAATTCGAGTTAACGCAACGTTCCAGACTGATCAAGACTTGCAGAAGTTTTGAGCTTCGAATTACGCCACCGCGTATATAATTCGGATTCGAGGCGATTCCAAGCATTTCGAATCTCCTTACAAGACACGCTGATAAATGGCTTCCGGTTTTTCTCGAGAACGCGCAAATTCGAACATCGTAAAGAAGGTATTCACTTACCGGTATCCAAAACCGTGTAGCGTGGATTGGTCGTGTCGATGGGCAGCATGTCCCGTACCCAGGAAATGATCGGAGGCGGTGACCCAACAGCGGTGCAGAGGAGCACCGCGTTATGACCCATTTCGACCACCTTCGTCGTCGGTGCTTGAGATATTAACGGGAAACCGTTCGGCAATTTCTCGGCTGTAACAATCGAACGGTCTCGCGTTATTGTAAATCAGCGATCCCAGTGCTATTTATTTAACACGATCAAGAACAGACGCGGGTGCACGCAGTTTCCTAGCCTCTAGGAGAATCTGTGGCGCCCGGTATGCCGCGGTCAGTCCCGCGGGATCGAAAGTTAGGGAAAGCTATTGGAACTGCGAGGATATCCCATTCCAGTTTCCATTTCTATTTCCCAGTACAGGAAACAGAGGTTTCGTCTTCTCGAAGACGGTGCAGCGATACCGGTAGATGCGACCGGATATACCGGTGTCCGAGTGTTCGAGAATAGAATCAGAATTCAATATACCGGAAAAAGTTCGTAAAACGATTTACAGGGAAGAAGAAGAGGAGGAAGGAGGAAAGGGGAGTGGGAGAAGGAGGAGAAACGGACAGGTCGGTCGATACCTCGAAATTTCTATTCTTGGACGTAGCGCGAAAGCCGATCGATTTATTCGCGTTTCTCGAGACAAGAAGAACGACGACGCGAGATTGGAGGCTGCTCGAAATATGCAGAGATAAAGATGAACGAACGCGAGGCGTCGTTGTCCAAATATGTTCCACCATCTGCATTTGTATTCCACATTTAAAATGTGAGAAAGAGCGTAGACTATGTAACTATAAAATCGTAGTTTAATATCTCGCCGTATTTTAATTCCGCTAATTATTTTCTATGTTTTCATCGTTATAGAAATACATAAATACTTTTTAACTACGGATAATAAATTGTTATAGCATCGAATATTGTTTACGATACGTCGTTCGTTTACCGCAACAATAACTCGAAATGTGCGATGATTTTGTTGATATTTCGGTAGTATCTTGTGGTACTTTACGACATGGGAAAATAAAAATTTGTTACCGGTACAACTAAAAGAGTGGAGATCTGTTGTTTCACCTATTGGATATTGTAAACCAGTACTAGGTACTAATACACGGAATGTTTCACGTGATGTTCTATGAATTATTCCTGCATATCGCGTTCTTCCATCTTCAATAATTTATAACGATCTCTCTCTCTCTCTCTCTCTCTCTCTCTCTCGATAATAACGATAACAGCAATGATAAATACTTAAACGATCGTAAAGAATAAAATTTTGAAAAGCATGGCTGGTCGTTGTTTCTTCTCACATCATAACAGCGGTAACGTGGCGGATCCCGCGTTGTTCGACACGTTGAATAAACTGGAAACATTCGTAGAAGCCAATTCGCTGTAAAGTCAATATTTGGCGGCGAAGTTGCAAGTTTTTTCGTTTCTTCTGCCGACGAGCCAGAAAATCAGGAGCAACGAAGCCGAAGGCTGACGTGTCGTTAGCCGGAGATGAGATTAATTCGACTTGTTTTGCGGTGAACGCGATAGAAGCCACATTTGCCTCGTTCTTCGCGTAATTACGACGATACTGCGTTCATCCTTAGAGCGAACTCGTAGTTAAAGGTAAGTTGGAGGATGTTGCACTCGAAGTTTCGAACTACTTCGCGTAGGCCTGGTTCCATCTCAATGGGGCTTACGCGTCTCGAACCTCCTCGACAAATTTTTCTTCCCCTTTTTACCCTCTTCCCTTCTCGTTTCCTATATCCCATTTTTTAAATTAGACATCCGCCGATAATTGGGTCGCGTGGGATTAATTAAAAATCCGTTCTACTTTCGAACGAGGCTCCAATAACATCGTCATTAAGTCCAACAATCTTCGACGTTTCACTGGTAATTATACAGAGCGTGTTACTCGCAAAGTACTCTCGTCGTTCTTACCACGTTTCCGTGGATTTCGCTTCGACGACCGACGATACAGAGACGAGACGTTGCCGCGTGTCGATTTGGCAAGAAGATCTCTTCGACGATTACGAGCTGACGCGTCTTGTCCCCGTAATTTTTCTTCCTCTCTCGTCACACTCGTTTCGTAGTATCGTGAAAACACGAGATTTTTCTCGTCCGTTATTAACAACGTACGTAACGTTCCGTGCATTTCTACAATTTTACATCTCCCATAAATGCATGTACACCCGCGGGCTATTAATATGCAAACGTTTCGCGAAAGAAACTGCTCGGATCGGATAACATCGTATTATAGATTTCATATCTGGAGATAAACTGCACGTTATTGCAATTGAAAATATTTTACTATATTTTACTATAAAAGTGACGCAGCTGTTATTTTAATTTCGAACGCGTATGTTATCTTTGCACGAAAGAGATCCTACTCAAAGAAGTGGATGTTTTCAGATTCGAGGATTATTAGTACAATTGCCGCGAACTGGGTGAAAGTTAGGAAAGAGCGGCGCGATCAAACTGTAATTACCATGACCGGGGCCCCGGGACGGTACTTTGTAAATCGTTCTTTTATAATCTCGTCAATTAAAAGAGCAATCGGAGCTCGAGCCAGCAGTCGGTCGTCGGTACGACTTTCGCCAACTTTGATCTAGTCGCCTGCTCTTATCGTAAATACGTAATAAGTCGGTAGAACCTGTTGGATCGCGTACGACCGTTCGCGTGTCGGTGAAACGAAGACCACGAGATTCTTCAGCATACACGCCTTTGTAACGTCTTTGTACTTTCTCGAGATTCTTGTCGACGTTGTTCACGAACAAGAAAGAGACGAAGAAAAACGAGAGATGCTTTGGATTCAACGCCAGTACCGACGCATATACAGATCGAAGAAAGGACCAGTCGGAATCGCGTTGGAGCTCTGTCGCGCGGAAAAGGAAGCTGACTCATATTCAAATTCTTAAAACCATCCTTAAAAATGCGATGAACGCAACGTGGAGAAAGTCGATACAGGGAGTGGCAGCGTTCGCGACGAATCTCTGCGTAATTTTAAAGAAACGCGGCGCGAAAAGACGACTCCGCCCTACGGTTGCCGCCCCTGACACCTCGTTACGTTCGCACGAATCTCTTGCAGACTCGGTCGAACGAATGGCCGGTGTCCGCTTTGGTTCTTCCGCGAAATGTATTCCGCGAACGTGGTTGAAAGATTACGAAGGTGGCCGGTGCGACGGGATGCAACAACGCGCCGAGAGCCGAGAAAAGCTAGCAGGAATTTCGCTTGGTTCGCTCGGTAGCTCGGCTCCGTTAACGAGCGCGATTAAGGCGCGAGAATCGTTGGCACTTGGGTCGGGAAAGGTCGCTGCTCGGTTGGTGCACTCGAACCTTAGACGCGAGCAAGCCGGAAAAGTCGGTTGAATTCTGTCAGATTCAGCCGACTGTCGTGTCATCCAGCGGCGAAGAGCGCCGCTCCTCGTTCTTCGGGTACTTTCAGCGGATCTTCGTCCATTGTTTTCTTCGCCGGCGTGGTTTCTTTTGTCCTCGTTATCGTTCGAGTTATCCGGCAGGGCGGCGCCAATTATATCGGCGACCGTGAGCGGTGTTCACGGCCGACAATAGAAATCGCCCACAGACCTTCCCGCCCCTCGAATCGTCCGTATGCCGCGATGATTCCACCTCTCATTCTCTTCCGTTACCCTTTCCTTCGCGTTCCAGTCCGTGACAAACAATTTCTCTCTCTTTGCCACCGCTTTCACCGATTACCATCGACAATACGACCGCCACCGTGGACCGCGCGACAACGAGAACCTCCCTGCTAACGCCATTGCCTCTGTCGATTCGTGGATCGCCCCTTCTTGCCGAGTCCTCCGTAACCAGCTGTTTCCGATCCCGTGGCAAAAAAATACAACCGCGTCACTCGACGAAAGAGACTCGTTGCTTCCTTTCCTTCTCTCCCTTTTCGCGTCCGTTTCTTCCTTATCTCGCACAGAGTCATCATAGTCCCATCTCGTTACAGTGCTAACGACGATGTTGAAATACGGTTTTACGCGCCAGCGTACCATCCTCTAGGTGCTCATAATCGGTAATGTCAGTGAGAATCGAGTGAAAAGCAAGAAGGGAAGAGAAAAGAATTTCCTCGTCGATAATTTCTATCGTTAACCGAAAATCAATTTCATCGTCGACGATATTGGATTGGCGACTAAGTGATCGCGGAATTTGTCATTAGGTGGTATTGACGAAATCAGCGATCGCTCAGTTGCCGACCCAATAGTTTTTTGATAAGCAGAAAAAAAATGTCATCGATGATGGTTACTGATAATAAAAAAAAAAAAAAAAATTTGCGATGTACAACGGTTATCGATAACCAAAAACAAAGGGTCCCGTCATCGATAACGATTATTGGTACTTAAAAAAAAAAAAAAAAATTCCGGCATCCATACCGGTCACAAGTAATCAAAAACAATTTCGATCGTTTATAATCGTTATTCGTAACGAGAATACTGAAATTGACGTTGCGGTAACGTTAAAACTTAGTATCTTTTAGCTACTTTATTTGTCGACAAATTTCCGTTATATTTAACGATCACTACCGCGTGTCTTCCGCTTAAACGAGAATACCTTTTTCAAAATTTCTGACTCGCGATCCTTCTTTTCGAAGATGATCGTTCTGTCTCTTTTTAAAACCATCTGTTGCTAACAACAACGTGAACGATCGCCGACGATATGACCGCCGCCATCGTTCCACGTTATCCTCGTAACGAGAACCTTCTCGCTAACGCCGTTGTCTCCGTCGATTCTCGGATTGTCTGTTTTTGCCGAGTTCTTCATCCTCTTGCCGTCTCAACGTAAAAATAATACAGCCGCGTCGTCGCTCGGTTTACCGAGTTTTCGATCAAAACCCGGGAAGAAAAACTCTCACTGCTTCTTTCCTCCTCCCCCTTCCTCCTCTTCTCCTAGATTCTTCTTTGCCTCGCTGCATCTATAGCGAAGAAATTGCAGAGTATGGAAATTCTCGCATCGAAGCGAAAAGAAGAGGAACAAGTTTCCACGACGTCCGAGGGATCGTCGGAAGACCGATCTGCCGGCTCCATCCGTTTACGCGAAGTCGCTTTAGATAACGACAAAGCGATGGATTTCCTAGGATATGGAGGAAGAATAAAGCACCGGGCGAAAGAAGCCGGTGGAAAAGAGAGGAGCGCGGGGAAATGGGAGAATCAATTTA